TAGATTAAGTTAATCTAGTTAATTCTAAAATCCAGCATTTCAAGTGCACTTTTTGCAATTATCACTAATACTAATCACACTATTTATTCCACAAAATGGTTGAAAGTGTGTGCAAGTATGCAAATTGGTATGCACCTATAGAAACGTGGCTCTTTTGACTACCCACAACACCCCTGCATCAAGGCAGTGAGTTTTGTGCAGCTATTTCCTTCAAGAAGTGCTCAAATCTAGGGTTAACATCATGTTGTTCTTTGTTAAGAGGGTTTAGCAAGCTAATGAGTGTAGAAGAAAGAGTGTGAAAAGTGACTTATCGTGTAGAGGGTTAATAAAACTCTGACCCAGATTGCTGGCCACGCCCACAGAAGAGGAGAACAAGAGCTCTGAATGACTGTGTCAGCAACACTGAGATCTCTCTCTCTCTCAATACACACGGAGACAAAAAAATCCTGTATGTTCTGCCTATGCAAACGAGATCAGTCTTTATCTAACTCTCACCGTCTAAAACACTGCTCATGCAAACAAAAAGAAACTGGCAAACCTGTACTGGCTTTGATCCATGCATAAAAGGTCAATATGCATCTACCATAAATGACAAAGAGTGCATGACCAAAAAAAAATCTGGTTTGCCATAATCCTGAAATGGCACAATGATGAGTGTATTTTTCATGACCGTGAAAAATGTAATTGCTGTGGCAGTGGTTGTAACTCAACCCCAAACACAATCCAGCATAGCGCGGCATTAAAAACAGCATTAGCCAGAACAAGAGTGCAAGCCAGACGTGGATACTGCCACTGTTCGCCTCAGGCACTTTCAATTCTGTTAACCGAGTCATAAATGCTGCAGACAGGAGGACAAATGTGCTTCACAAATTCGTTCCAGTGTTAAATTACCTGATTGGCAGGAATTTGTCAAAACAGCATCCACTACAAGCAGTGTGTCAAAATTCATTAATATGCCAACGGGAGAGAAAAACGCTCAAAAATGAAACCTCAAGAACTGGTTCAATTCTGTTCGTCACCAGCTAACTCGTGGTTTGCAGATCCGAGCCAGAAATGAACTCCTAGCAAGGGCCTAAATGCAGTCGCAAATGCTTCTATAAACTTATGTGAACTTTTGTTCTATGGTGATAAAAAAACCTTGGTACTCAAGGGACTTATAATGTTAAAACCTCATTAAACCAGATGTGTTATTAAGGTGGATAGCTTTTTACACATATTAAAAGCTTTGACTTTAACAGAATCTGATTTGACTCCAGAATCAGATCCAGTCTGAATAAGTGTAGACAAATCGGTTGGCCATTATTCCAGATCATTCACTACTCCAGTGTTTCTCAATCGTGGTTCTGGTTTATATCAGCATCTTATTAGTAGATGGTGGTTTGGCTGTCAGATAAATGCCAAAACATACTTTTTAATACTTTAAAAAAAATATCCTTTCTATGAGTAAACTAGGGTGTGCGTTAGGGCTGTGTATCACCAGCAATGCCACGATGCGATACGTATCACGATACAGAGGCTACGATACGATACATATCACAATACATGACTGCACTGAATTTCACC